GCAGCAACTAGAGAACACTCATAGTTATTATACTGCTCTCATGAGAACAGTAATTAAGCCTGAAATTTCGAACACTGATCAGGAGTACTATATTCTAATATTTTTATGATACTTTCTCTTCAAGGTGTATACTTTTTCAGAATATATATAAACATAATTTTAAAACCACCCATACTATTGTTAGAGGGTATAGTTTTCAAAATAATAACCTTGTTTACTATTTCAAGAATTTATAATACAAACTTAAGATATTTATCTAATTAAATACATATTTTGAAATATAGTTAACCCTTTGTAAGTGCACTGTGTACAGATCACAAAACCTTTTGCATTTAAAAAAGTATTGCATTTAGAGAGATAAAAATCGATAAGTATATATATAGTAGAGCTACAACAAAACCATGCATTTAGAGAGGTCTTGCATTTATAGAAGTTGCATTTAGGAAAGTCTAACTGTATAAACTTTTGAAAGTATACAAGTAGGAATTAAAAAAAAATTCTCTATTAGATATATCAAACCAAAAGTATTAAGTATCTATCTGAAGTAATATATACTGTAGAGTAAAGTCAATAAAAAAAAAACAAATCATTTTTAATAAAATCTTTTAATTTTTAAATTAAAATATCTTAACAACTAATTAATCAAATTTGCTAAAAATTTTTTTATTTTAATATTAAAATAATAAAAAATTAAAATAAAAAAAATTATTAAATTTAATAAGATAATTGTTAAGATATTTAAGTTTAAAATCAAGAAAACTTTTATTTAAAAAAAATTTATATTTTTTTTTATTAACTCTACTTTATATACTAATTTAAAAATTGAGATAATAGGTAATGTAAATAATATAACAGATATGTAAATACTAGTTAATAGTTGAAAAAAAATATATAAATCCAAATTAGCTATATAGTGAAAATATAAAAGGCTTTGGTAAGTTTTAGCCATAGATAAATGATTTGTATAATCTGATATCCTAGTCTAGTTTTAATATGTAATATATATATAAATCAGCACTATCATATGGGACCCCCAACAGCAAAAAAAGAGGATGGGCAAAAAAATTTGAAAATTTGTTCTTATGATAATTTTATTCTAATTAATCTGATTCTTCAAGATATTGAATTTTTTTAAAAAAATTTTTTTGGCCCATCCCCTCTTTTTGCTATAGGAGGTTCCATATGTCAATCACTTAAATATTAAATAAAGTCTGAGGCAGGTGCTACACCCTGAATATTAAAAAAATAAAAATAAAAAAACAAAAATTGTTTTCATTATAACTAGACAAAAAATTAAATTTTTTATTTAATATTAAATCTAGTATACTGTATAAGTACAGAGATTGCATATCGCATACAGTATGTATAAAAAAGATACTTCATCTTTTATATATTATTAATTGTTTATTTAAATTCCAATAGTAAAAAAATAAAAATAAATAAATAAAAAATCACTATACCTAGCAATCAATATACGGATTATATAGTTAATATTAAAGTAACAATTATTGTTTTTCGAATTTTTTTTTTAGTAAAGTAGTTAAAAAAAATAAGCAAAGTTTTAGATCTCTGATTTTGCAATTTAACTAAAGCGATAATGTGAATCATTCCACTAAGATTAGTAATAATGTTTTATTTTGTTTTTTTTTTATTAACGTTAAAAATAAAAATAATTATTAACTCATTTTTGAAAAAATTTAGCAGATATCTTGAATAGTCTCTTTAATTGTTTATACGTAATAAATAGATGTAATTACAATCAAATATACTAATATGGCTAAAGCATTAAAACATTTTCCGTACTAATTTTTAATACCTACCCATTTGGGTAGAAGCACATTATTTAAAACAATTAGTAATCCCAATGATAGGGATCGCTTTCTTTTTTTTAGTACAGCCACTGCCGATCAACACGATCTAAACTTTTAGGTATCATTGTCATTAAAAAGGGCATACGTATAAATTTTATTACAGTAGATATTAGCCGGATTAGGATTCTAGACTTCGATATAAAAAAAAAAAAAAACGAGAACTGTAAAAAAAATAAATATCATATATATATAATAATATATATATATAATAAATAAATACAATACTTAAACATATATTAATATAATTAGCAGTATTTTTTTTTCTTTTTGCATTTTTTTTTTTTTTTGTTCATTTTTTTTTTATCAAGTATATTTACCAAATTATAGAAACAAAAAGAAACACCAGGGACAAACACGCGACACAATTATTCTAGGCAAACCCTTCCTTATTGGTTAGTAAACAAAGTAGAACATTAACAGGAACTGATAGATCGATGAAGGAGAGGAGGAATTCAAATCCTATTTTTTTTTTTATCTTCATTCCATAAATGTAATTACTTACAACACACCATCGCGGTTTCTATTAACAACTTTCGGCCGTCTATGGCTAAACGTCCTTTTCACACTTCATATAAATAAGTTATATTACAAAGTATGAACTTGATAAAAATTATGAAATGAATTAATTATTTTTTTTTTTACTTTGCTGTCGCCGGCTGTGCATTTGATGCTGGGACGTTTGGAATGGATTTTCTCAATTCAGTAAAGAAATCATTGCCATTTGCCATTAAATGTGCAGCTATCAAAATTAACAAAATTCATTTAATGTCTGAAAGGGTATTCACCGATTAAAAAAAAAAAAAATTTAACAAAATAATTTTACCTTGTCCCCAAGTAAGTTTATTTCCCCAAGCATTCTTTTCTGTTGGAGGTTTGTACATATCAGGTTTCTCTAATGAAAGTAATTCATTAAGATCTTTATTATAAATTCCATTATTAATACTGTATTAATTAATTTATATGGAGTAAAAACTTACCAGGATCAGAATTACTGTGATATCGCTGCACTGCTTCATGAAAGCCTATTGAAACATCATACTTTTTCGATTAAAATAAATCAGAGGAATATTATGTATATAAAATTCATGAAAGCATCACTTACCATTATTTAAAAATAAAGAAATTTCTGCAGAATTAAAATTATTTACTGGTACATGTTCTGGAATTGGTCTTGAACTAGGCAAAGCTGGACCAGAAGAAAATGATGCGTTTGAAGCCGTAGAGCCAAGAGACGTAGGAGTAGTCGGTGAGGTTACTGTACCTGAAGCCAATGGTGTAGTAGCATGAAGATCTTTATTTTTACCAGCTATATTATTTGTTTTGGAAAAATTAATTAAATTGAAAAACTCTGAAAAAAACGAAAATGTGCATCACCAGATTTTACCAAGGGAATTTTTTCTTTTTGGATTAAAATCTCCTCGTCTATCTGTTTGTTTTTTAAAACTAAAAAATACACGCAGTAACTTATATTAATATTTCATAAAACAATCTAAAAAATAAAAATAAACTAAGTCGCAGTAAGGGACTAAACGTACTGTTGTCTTTCTTCTTCACGAGTACCAGCCATGTTTGTATTTTAAGCGGGATGTGTAAAAATTTAAGGAAAAGGAGGTGAAAGAACAACTAGAGCGCTTAAAAGAAGTGTAAAATATGAATTAAAAATGGTAATATATTAAAAAACTTCGGGTCGATTTTATTTATTATCTGTTATTTATTTATTTTTTTTATTAAACACCGGAAGAAATTATTAACAGTTAAACAATGGAAAATATTAGTTTCTTTGTTGGCTTTTATTATATAAGCTTATTTTTATAATAATAATAAAAAAAAATTTTTGATTTGTCATTTACACGCCACCCACGTGACCAAATGTAATATTCATTTCGAGTATTACAGTATTACGGTATTAAGAATGTCTGTACAGCTAAAACCCGACTTCGTATAATTAAAAAAAAAACAGCAACTCAAATTTATTTAATTTGAATTTACTAATTTCCAGATATACTACATTTATATTACTCTTTTTATAATGTATTTTAGTTTTATACTCCTTTTCTTTAAGCTGAAACACCAAACGTTTATTATAGAAAGTCCCAAATGAATTTTGAATCCTATTAATGAAGTCTGAAAGCGGTCGATACATACGTTAAATATAAGATTAATATATAATAATAATAATAATTAATAATAATAATCCAACTCACCAATGGTATGGTGGATTATTAAGCGAGAGATCATCAATTCCCTGTCCAGGATATGAATACATGGCAAAATTTTCCATGATATGCATTAAGCTATCCAAGGGATTAGGTTCTACTGTTGTTGGATATGGAATGAATTCACAATCAGGACATAGCCACTGACCCGAAGGCTGCTTAGTAAGACCCACGCATTCCCAGTGGTACCATCCTGTTACACACTAAGTTTGATAATAAATGGTTAATATGAGTAAACAAACATTGACATGCTATTTCTTGCATCGAGTAATTAATTACATTAAGAAATACATACGCTAGGATGATCGCATTGAATCATTTGGCCAAATTCTGGCTATTGATATAATTCATTTAAGAATACATAAATTCACGAAACGTTATAAAAATCACAATGTCAAATTTTAAAATTCACATAGAAAATGAAACTCACTCGTTTGCATATACAATATACAAGTTCATTAGGATCAAAGTCACCGTCGTCACTATTAATTACATTATGAATTAAACATGCGAATTGATCACGAGTGAAAATTATGGTGAAAATTAAAAGATTATTACCCTGTAAGTATTTAATCGATATATATTATTAGACATGTAATAGTAAAGTTTTGAAATCAAATTTATATAAAATGCGAACCTTCTAAATGTATATTGTTACGGGCCAACTCTTCGTCTAGTCTCTCAAAATGCCTAGAGAGCTAATAAGAAAATAAAAATTAATTATTACAACGCACAACAAAATTTATTTGCGATCAAAAGATTAATATTCGACTTACTAAATTATATAATTTATCAGCGACAGCAATTTTTTCGTCTTGTTTTTGCATAGCATCTTCATAAGCTTTCTGCAATGTTTGACAAATAAAGAAAGTAAAATTGAAAATTTGAAATCTTAAATTACTAAGCCACTATATCACAGCATAACACGACTGTGCCACCGCATGCCACGTGCCAAATTCACAATTATTTTTAGTCAAATATTTTCTTCGGGGAACTCAAGTTAACTTTCTTCCTTCTCCGCGAAAATTATATCTTTTTTTTTTAAATATATAAACATTATTAAATTTAAAACATACCTCTGCCATATTTTTCCAATAACTAGGACCTCTGTCGTTTTCATCTATGTGATCAGAATCCACACAGGCGAAATATTTGTCCTGACATTCGTTGCAAATCGCACGTAACTCTAGTAAATAATATAAATATATGGTAATATAATGGTTTAAGGTTTATTTATAACAATAATAGCTCAAAAAAATAGTGATATAATTTATATATATAACGCGAAAACCAATATATATATAACTATATATATATAACTAAAAGAGATGCTTACTTTCACACTGTTCGTCTAAAAGTCGTAACTCGTTCAGATTATGAACAACTTCTGCCTTCAGGTTGTAAATGGCTTTATTGAAAAGTAAAAATATATAAGTTATTTAATAATGAATATAAATAGCAATATATTTTTGATCAATATCGAGAAAAAAAAAAAAAGAAAAAAAAAAAGAAAAAAAAAGAGGGAAAAAAAAGAAAAAAAAAAAAAAAGACACACAATCTAGATAGTCGTCTAGAACTTCAGAGGGTGATTTTAATTCATTTAGACTATCTTGAATTTGTTGAATAGACTCTTGTTCCATTTTTTATGATATTTTGATTAAAGGTGAAAAGTTAAAAAAAGTGACAGAGGTGGAGCGAAAAAAAGGGAGTGGAGGACAAAAAAAAGTCTGTGGTCAATATCTGAAAAATAAGAGCTTAAGATATGTCAAACAACCGTCAGTCCCTCCATGTCACAAAAGTTTCCTAAACAAGAGGGTCGTGCGAACTTTTTTCCCGTAACACTAAATCTGCAAAATAGAAAATCAATCGACAATCCACTTACTCGTTTTTTTTTTTTTTTTTTTTGGCCCGTAATAGTTATAATAAATATGTCTTAAATACAAATCGAATTGTCGAACACGACTAACCTGCTAGATCGTATCAACCTGTTATCCATTGTCATTTAAAAAGTGAATAGGTTGTATTATAAAATGATTAAACTAGATCAATTTTCTTGGATTGTGGCGATCTTATGCAGGAGTTGTATGGTCGAGGGATGATTACAGGAGCGACCGTCGATGTTACACGACTGACTTTTCACCCGGTGTGCAACATATAAAAAAACCATTTTACAAT